ATGCAGGAGCCAATGTGGCTTATTCAGCAGCAAGCTTTCAGCAGTTCAGTGCTCCACTTTAACACCCCTGAAAACTCAGAGATGGTGCATCATGGAAAAAGGTGGCTGCTGACTCTTGTTGTTTAGACATGTTTGAGAAACAGCAGTTTCCAATGATGATGTATTTTAATTTGCCATATGTGTGAAAAGTTTAATTAGCATATTCGTCACCCAGCCCAGAAGTAGCATTACGATTCCTTCCCAGGCAATTCATAAACTGTGTCATTCCAGTAGAGTCAACTGTCTCCCAGAGCCAGTTCTGCATCCTCCCACAGTGAGCAAAGGGAGTGTGGCCAAGGACTTGTACTGGGACTTATAAGAAGATATGACTTTGGTATTCTCTAAAGACTGATGAACATGAGCCTCAACAATTCCTATTGAGTGCTGGACAGAGTTCCCTCAAACTTTCTACAGCAATTTCATCAGATGTTTGCTTATCTAAAATAATTTTGTGATGTTTTCGATTGACGAACACTTTTATGATATGAGGATTTGATCAACAGGTTACTAAACTCCCCCACCCCCAATATCCCAGTGTTGTTGTGCATCCTTTTCAGTGCACATTCTCTATGAATCTTTACAGTTGTATCTTATTAATATTAAAAAGCAAAAGAAAACACAATTAAACAAGTTTCAAACATCATTGCAAGGAATCGGGCAAGCTTTAATTCAGTTCATTTGCTGTTGATAAATAATATTTGAAAAGAAAAATTAAAGATAATATTGAATTTATCAAGACTTTATTTTTACTGGTCATCCACAGAGGTTTGCAAGTAAAATTTCAGGCAGCTGTGCATACATACTTTATATGTTGAACTGAAACATAGGAGGAAAATGGTCCCTTTTTGAGACTTAAAATGACATAGATTTCAACAAGTTCATTGTAGTGCAAAGAATAGCAGATTTCTACCAATAACATGGCATGTCAGCTCAGATAGTGACATACCTGGCACACAGTCTTGTCTGCTGTCACATTAATGATAGCTGAGATTGTGGACAGAAAATGAAGTCGGAGAGTCTGTGGATAGTCAGCAATATTGGTTAGGACAAGGTAGAACAAAGTAGGTGGTTGAAGAGTGGAGGGAGGAAAACAAAAAAACTCCAACCAATTAATTTTGATAACTCAGATGGAAGAAGCCTGACTTTGGAGCTTTAGGTGTAGTATGTCTTTCCAAAAAAATTCAGTGGGTTTTGTGTTACTTTTGGTAGGTTTTTTAGTTATCTACATGTGGTGCTTCACCCATTATTTGTTTGGTCAATGCATGACAAAATGAAGCTGCTGTATGTTGGGAAGAACTTCTTGAATTTCCTTATGTTAACACATGGTTTACATCTTTCCAGACTGAAAAAGAAAATTACTAGAGAATAGGCTGGTTTTAATTCACTAAGGTGTCATTGCTAATGGTAGGTGCCTCCCCATACCTTTAGGAACTGTCTCTACAAATGGGCTTTTTTTTAAATTGATTGCTGTTTTACTACATAAGTACTAGTTTACTACTTTTAATAGTAGTTTTATTTTAATATTTTTAATCTTTCTAAATTCAGTATCACTGATGCATCTCATTATATGGTTTTAATGGTATGTACTGTCTGAACAAAATGTTAGCCAGTGCACTTTTTAGGTGCTGGTAATGTAAAACAGACAAAATAACAGAGCTGCCTAAGGGAGATTTCTCATGCTTGTCTTTCCTACTATGAATTTGTATTAGCTTTTTAATCATTTCATAGAAACTATCAGGATGAATGACCTATCACCGTTTTTTTTTACTAGCATTACTCTTTTCTATCCCTCTTTGTTTTCTCTGATCATCCTCTTTGTCCTTAGCTGCTACTATTTATACATTTACCAACACACCAGTTCTGAGCAGAGACTAGTCTACTGGTGTTTTACAGCTTCCCATGGAGCTTCAGGACTTTACAGTCCTGTTGTGTATGCTGTGGGTGATCTAGACTGCATGTGTTTTTATTTTCCAGGAAACTGAAGCAGCAGTGCAGGCGAAGCAGCCGAATGTGGAAGAGGTTTTGTCTAAAGGGTGCCATTTGTACAGGGAAAAACCAGCCACTCATCCGGTGAAGGTAATGAAGCACCTTCAGCAATATCCATTACTGTGGAATGGGTTATGCTTCCCCTGTTGTACACTTGTCCTTGATGTGCTCTGTTTAAAATCAATGAAAGAACCTGGCAAATGGCATTTGTTCTGTTCTGTGACAGCAGAGCCAGGGAAAATGCAATGTTCCCAGCTAGAAAATTTTTGTATATTGTGATGGGAATATTGGTTTTGACATTAGGGTTGTTCTACCCATTCAGGAGTAATTCACACTGAAAGGAAATGTGATTTTTTTCATGCCTAATTAATGGCAACATGTGACATGGTTTTTAAACTCCCTGATTTTGAATTTTGCTTTCAGAAATTTTGTCAAATTAAAAAATTATGAGCAAGTTCTCTAGAAAAGTTAAGAATCAAGTTATAAAGAGGGTCCTTTGCTTTACATTTTTTTCATTTTGAAGGGAAGAACACGTGGCAACATGGAACTTTTCCACTCAATTTCTCTGCCAAAATTTATGTGGAATGACTGACTGGATTCTGTTTTGGAGCAGAGGACACATTGTTAGGAAGACTATGCCTCCCAACACTTCCCTTTTAGGAAAGTGTACTGTGGAATCCTTTTCCTCAGCGTAGCAATCAGTTTGAAGGGAACATTTTACACTCGGTTTCCTAAAGACTATGTGCACCTGCATTGAGACTAGAGTGTCATTTTCCATCTGGTCGAATCTTGATGCAGAAAATCATGAACAATATCCTCCCATGTCTGGTTCAGCTACTTTTGGAATAGTAAGGTCACTCCCATACCAACCAGAGCTTGATCTGGTTTCTAGTTTTATAACTGCTAATAAAGTATCTGTGAACATGATGATTAAGAATTCCCTGAAACTATAATAGTGACTTACTGATTACACTGTGTATTGTAATTGCTTCTGTCGTAATCCTTCATGAGTTAATTCCAGTGGAATCTGCTATTTACATGTTTCAATATAGACTTTTTGGCAGCAATCAAAATAATTTGCTACACCAAAGGTATTTTGTGGACACAGAAATAATTTTTATTCAGACTAAGATGTTTTTTAGAAGTTATTAACTCAAAATTTTCTAAAATTCTTGAATTAAAGTGCCCTTGGTTTAGGCTGAACCCTGCCTGATTCAGTGCAGGATGTGGGCAGCACTCCCAGTGTGAGCAGAAATTCAATGCTGAGACTTATAGTCCTTGTTTAGTATGTGGCACAGAAAAAGAAGATGCAACTACCTGTCCTTCTTAAAAGTGTTAATTACTTGTGTACATTGCTTGGCAACTTTGTGGATTATTTAGTTCTCCAAGGCAGCTTTGTCTTAGCTGCTTTTTTTCTCCCATATTTCCTTAATTCACTGCATATCTTCCCATTCTTTTCAATAAATGAAGTACAGCTCCTATTTACTTATTCTCACTGCAAACCTTTCCTGTGCTCAAAGGCAGTGTGTGCCAGAGAATTGCAGTTATTGGTTCAATTATGTGCTTTTTATCTGAATTAATGTTCATAGTTAACATTATTCTGGCATTTCTAAATGTTTAGCTGCTTATCTTTGCAACCTTTATAATGTATTCTCATTGTAGTATTTTCAATGTAAATTAAATCCCATGGATTTATATTGACATGTACTTTATCTTATCTCATAGGTATGTCACTGAACTAAGTGTATTTTCACACCTTCACTAAGCACACTAGAATAGAATTCTGCAGTGCAAGTCTGTAGAAATATTTTTGTTGGCAAATGAAATCCCAGTATATGCTGATTCAAGAGTCAAGAATGGGATGAGATGTGTGATCCTTTAAGCACCAGCACTTTAATAATCAGACCTATTCACTTTTATAAAATGGATTTCATGCTTTTGAAATGCATTTCTGTAAAGCTTTTGAAGGAGAGGTAGGGAGAGGTTACTGCTGGTGTCAGTGGCATAGGAGGAATGTAAGCCCCAATCTCATGATTAGCAGCATTTAATCAGAACAGTTTATTCAGGAAAGGATTTCTGTGGCAGTGGAAGAGCTGTGGTTCCCTTGCCACAGCACTCGATTTGGCTTAGGTGGGAAGTGAGTAGTGAGGCACTCATTTTCATTGTCCTCAGTTTTGCATTTAAAAGTCTACATAATTTCTCTCTCTAAATATTCATATCTGGTTTTAGCGCTGTCGGTGGGATTAGTTATGTATGAATGTTAACCTTACTTAAATTGCACCAGTGATGGCATTTAAAGAAAACATATAAAATTTGTCCTCAATGCAACATATTTTGATGTTCCTGCTTGTCACCAAAGCTCTAGAGTTGAAATCACAGCAAAATTGTTGTGCTCAAAGAAGTTCACATTTTAAAGCATGCATGCTAATTTATGCCAGATGCAAGATCTCACTATAGCTTTGATAGAAGAGCTTAGAACTGGCTACTATCTCATTAATGATGTAGATGTTGGCTCAGACAACCTTCTCTAATGTCTGTGATGGCTTGTTCTAGATTTCACTCTTGCTGGAAAGAAGTCTCTAGCTCATATACATATGAATGATTAAGCAGCTACTCATAATGACGACCAATATTATAAATATAACATCCACATCTCCTTCCTGAGTTACTGTGAATGTCTTGTAAAATGAAATGATAGTGTGATGTTTCTGTGACTGTAATCCACACAGATACAAAAATCTGACTTTGAATTGTCATATCATACCTGATTGCTTGTTCTGCCTAGTCCTTGTAGTCTATTACCAAAGTGAATCCCTGATGTTCATGACTTTTTATTTCGTTAGAACACAGTTTTAAAACTCCTTTTAAAATGGTTTATTCCGTAACAGGGAAGTGTATCCTTTGTCTTTTGCCCTATCAAAAAGCATTTACACAAAAATCTGTCATTTATACCGGATAATATTCTGGCACCTATTGGTGGCCGATGTAAAAGAACTTTGCAGGTTTAGAGTATTTCTGGCAAAGCTTAATGCAATTTCTAGAAACACTCCCCTGACATATCAGAATATAAAACTGGGCTGCCTCAGACTGTGTGTGTGTCTATGTACACACTTCAATTTAATGAGCATTGTTCTCTATCCTTCTCCTTTTGAACCCTGTCATCTTAGACTCCAGGCAATTAAACTACCTTTCTTAATAGGAATCCTGTTTCCATCACAGCTGGATGGTGATTTAAACTAGAGTCATGGGTTGAAAGCATAGAATACTGAAAGCATTGGTACTCTGGTGCTTTTTGTAGCCCACAATCAGGGAGCAGCTTAAAACAGAAATGCAGTCTTCATTTTGAGAGTTTGGAGATGTCAGCATGGAATTAGCAAAGCTTTGTCCTTCTTTACTTCCCTTAAAGCAAGGAAGAAAGAGAGGTAGAAAAACATTTTCAAATCCAAAAATGCTTCTCACAGTTATGTGAAGACTGATGTTATTCACACTCCAGACTTTCATGTAGGTTTTGTTTAAAAGTAACAGTTTGCCCATTACTGGTCAGGACTGTGTGCCCACACACTGAACTTTGAGTCCTTGAAGACTCTAAAGACTTTCTTTTTCCTCTTTTCTTTTTGAATAGGGGGAAGAGTAAGTTCTGTACTTGATGTTGCAAAGCTATTTGTAATACATAATTTACTTTTCTATTTCAGTTTTAACCCATAGCATCTCAGGTTCATGGTGATTAATAACCAGAGCCCTCTCTGCAGTATGTTAAAGAAGAAGTCATCCTCTGTTCCTTGCAGAGGAGTGAAGGTGTGTGAAGCAGGGCAAGCCAGAGGCTGCAGAGGCCCCAGTGAGCTGCAGGAGAGTGTCCCCAGCCTTGGCTGTCCTGCTGCCCCAGGCGAGAAGCAGCACTGGCCAGGGCTGCCCTGGCTGGAGGAGGATCCAAGGCAAACAGCCCAGTGTCCAGGCAGGGCATGGCCATGGGCTCAGCTTGGTCAGGCTGTGCTCAGGCAGCTGCACTCTCTGTGAGTTGGTCCTGTGAGGAAGAAAGATGCTTTTAGCACCCAGACACTATGGACCTGTTTTGCAGCTCAGTTGGAAAGGATTTTACTCATTGCTCTCTTCCATTTATGAAAATTAATTACGATTTCTACCTCTCTGTTCTGGTTTGGTTGTTGTTGTTATTGGGTTTCTTTGGTTTTTTCTTTTTGTTTTGTTTTAAATTCAGGTGATTCACGAGGTGGAGGAAAAAAAGTTAATTTTGCATTTATTTACATTGAGGCCATTTGTTTACATGAGAATACCATGTTGGATGGAGCCCTGGGCAGCCTGATCTAGAGGGTGACATCCCTGCCCATGGTGGGGGGAGTCAGAACTAGATGATCTTTAAGGTCCCTTACAACCCAAACCATTCTGTGATATAGTAATTTATGTATCATAAATTTAGTATCTTTTTATTTTCTATTCTAGAAAAAGTTAGAAGACTTGAATGCTGACTGGAAGGCAATAAACCACTTAATTCAACAACTAAAGGAAAAACCAGCATTAGCAGCATTGGGTCATCTCTCTGCAGCTGTCTGTAAGTGCTTCAGTATATGCTTTTTCTTGAAATGAATTACAAATCACACAGTTCAAATGAAAATGACTGGAGACTGTCTAATTCTGCATCTTTGCAGGTGCTAGTATGACATTCCAGTTGTTTTTTTATCCTTGCCTTTCTATTTTCTTTAATGTATCCCAGAAGACAAATTAGATTATGGTTTGATGAAAAGATTGCAGCATGCTTTTGAAATTATTATTGTTTCAAAGTCATGTTTCTTTATTCCATGCAGAGGTGAAATTTTGACTTTCTACATATATTTAGGGAGGAAATACTACAAAGGGAGAAGAATCATTTAAATTAAAAGATAATAATGTTATAGGTCAAGTGTCTGTAAATTGGTCACAGAAGAAATTCTGAAATTACTATTACTGATAGGGCAATAGACTTTCAAGACAAAGCTTGTGTATTCATGGGAAAAGTCATACAACAAAATGGTAAGGGTAATTCTGCAGCGAAATATGAAGTCTGTGATACAGATCTCTGCATGTCTTGCATTTGTGAATATACAACGAGACACTTGATCTCCATTTAATTGAAATTGTTTGGACAATATTTATAATAGATTCTTCTCATATCTCTTTGCACCTGCTTGTTCTCTACAAGGACTACAAACTCCTTTTTTTCTCCTTGATAAATGGGGTTTATTTCTCATTGCTTTCCTTTGAAAAGTACTGGTTAAGCATGAATGGAAAAGAAATACATAATGGCAGCACTGGGTTCAATCTGAAGTTTCTTAGGTTCTGTACTTGATATTGAACTATCTCAGTTGCTTGGATGAAGAATGGTACTCAGCAAAAAAATTTAGAGAGCTGCTCATCTGATGTGGAAGCAGAAATAAATCTGGTAGTGACATGTGGAGTCTTACTAAATAGGAACTGTAATTTGGTTTTAGTCATTTAGAACTGCTGTGGCTCCAGTGGCAAACATTTCAGGTTTCTAAAATGGGCTAAATACAACTAGTATTTTTCAAAACTTGTAGTATAATGGTATCCTTGCTTAAGGGGATTTTGTTCAAAGACATGCTATAGGAATTCATGTCATGACATAGAGGGAGCAAAGGAGATGTGTAGTCGTTTTTTGCTGTGCTGTGTCACTAAACTTGCTGTGTCAGTTTTGTGTGTGAGCAGGTTATGTCAGACTCCAG